CGGGGCCGGGAGGGGGGCATAGAGTTTCCCTGGTGTTGGCCAGAGTGGCCACCAGGGAAACCTGGGGAGGGCTAGCCTCCCACTAGTTCGAATTAAGGGGCTACACACCCCTTAATTCGAACTAGTAAGTTCGAACTAGGCTTAGTCCTCGTAGAATGAGGTTTACCTAGTTCGAACTAAGCGCTCCGCTAGTTCGAATTAAGTTCGAACTAGCGGAGCGCTAGTGTAGCGCCTATCAAAGTTAATTCGAACTAACGTCCGTTAGTTCAAATTAACTTTGTAGTGTAGACATACCCGAATAGAAGTCTTTTTCTGTACTCCTGTCTAGACAGGCACTTATACAAAATATTTTGCACTAAAAATATTTCTTTCAATGCAATCTCACCATGGACAGTGGACAACAGAATATTTTGGCCTGCAGCATCTACTGAAGTAACTTAATGAGGAGGGGTAACTGCAGGGATGTGTATAACAAGAGAGAAATATGCTACGTGTGCCCAAATGAGTGAAAGAGAGCATTTGCTAATATTCAGTTGGGATTCCTCTTAGGGAATCAATTGTGGCAATGTGAACTATGAAATCAGTGAGAAATAATATAGAAATAGGGATTATTTGCATGCATATGTTCATAGTTTAACTAACAGTGTTTCTCAAAATGGGCCATGGGACCACTTTGGAAAACCTGCTAGGAGGCCCGTGCTGCTTTATTTACCTAAAGGATCTGTATGGATTGGCTATGTACCTTTCAGGTAAACAAAGCAGCGCAGGCCTGCTAGCGGTTTTTCCAAAGTGGGCCCAAACACTGAACTAACACACAGAGAAAGTAATACAAATGTATCACTCAAATGGCACGTCTACACTGCACGTCTATTTCGGGATATCCTGAAATAGCTACTCTGCATCTTCACAAGCTGGCCAATATTTTGAAATATTTTTCAAAATAATGGGCACACTATTTTGGCATCCCAGTAACCCTCATTCCACAAGGGTTAAGGGATATCTCAAAATAGTGTAACCGATGTATTGGAGCGTAAGCTTTCATGGGCAGAGACCCACTTCTTGTCACTTTTGCAGATCTAGACTAAGTTGTCTCTTTTGCAGATCCAGACTAACACAGCTACCCCTCTGATACTCAAAATAGTGTGTTATTTTGAGTTTAGGTTGCTGGGTAGAGGCACCCAAAAGCATTGCAAAGCAAACTCATTTGGTTCATTTCTGTCTGACCATTTACTTGATTAAAATAATATGTATTAATCCATTATTCCCATGACTGCCTCTCCCAGAAATTCAGAAAAAGCTTAATTACTTTTCTTATTTTACAGTGCAAGTCATACATTTCTTTGATATGCCTAAAAATGCACACTGAAGTAGAAAGAGCAATCCTTGTATTACTTACGTATTCCAAAAACTTTTATTCTCCATTGTGATCGTACCAGTCTTCACTATCTGTATTATTGTTCTGTCATTCTATTTTGCTGTTCTATGACATTTCATCTCTTTCTATCATTCTGTATTACAGAATAATGTATTTTTAAAGTATTGTGTTGTGGCAATCTCAAAAATAGACAATAGTAATATGAGTTCCCAAAGTCTTTTATTTCAGAGCGGGTTTCAATTTACTTAAAAGTTCAATACTGTGTGTGTGTCTCTACTCATGTATCGTGTTTCTGATCACGCACTGGGTGTATGCACCTGCAAATGTCTGGGAACATGTACGTGGGGCACAAGGAAATATCAGTATTATTTACTATGATAGGATGCAAGCCTGTGTGATGGGCGACTTGCTGTGAAGTTAGATCAAAATGCACTAAGGACAGGTAAAACTATACCAAAGACACTCATCCTCAAGGAGATGATGAGGAAGATCTAGCTTTTACATAGTGCTTTTCATCATTTCTCAATGTGCTTTGTAGATGAGAGAACTGAGGCAGAGAGCTTTGCCCACAGTCACCCATCAGGTCTGTGGAGGATCCAGGAATGGAATTTAGGTCTACTGACCGTGCTTCATTGCTTTTTGTGTCTAATAAATACACTTTTTATACGATGAGTGTTTCATACACTTTTTATACAATGAGTATTTATAGAACAATGATCAGGGAGAATATTCTTATAAGAAAGAAAGTTAATTAACATCACTGATTGAAAAAATAATAAAAACCCAAATAGTCTAGTAGCACCTCTTTGTTGTTTTTTAAGTTTTTCCTGTTACAGACTAACTCTGCTACCCCTCTGAAGCTTTTGAAAAAAGAAAAGCAATAATTCAACTGCCAGTAGATGGCACCATCTTTTCTATAAGATTTATGATTGTGGAAGGGACCATCTAGGAAATAAACAGAGAAACTGCTAAGAGATTATAGCAGATGTTAGTTGCATTATCTTTTTTGATTTGTGATTTTTCCTGGTAGTAAATAATGACTAAAATAGTCATGCACCTTCATGAGATATAGCACCTTTTCCCTCAGTGCTTTACAGATGTTGAGCATGGTACTATGAAGTTGTGAGTTCTTTAGTGACCTGAACAATTTAAAAGGAAAGAAAAGAGCCCATTGCTGAGGACTTGGACGTCTTTGCCCAGTGTTTCATCATTGCCTTTGTTTTTTCTACTTGCAGGATTCATCTGAAGTCCCACTGGACTAGAATGTATAGTACACCATCTAATATGTCATGATTTTACAACTGTAAAATTAAAAGGAGTTAATGACTTTTGTGTTGATTCTTAATTCTTTGCCTTTGTAGAGTATTGTACAAAGAAATAATTTGTACTTCATTTTCTGTGCACTTACGGATACTTTGAGGGAGAGCTTTGCCAAAAGGAAATACAACAGACATAGTCATTGCTGAGGTATCTCTGATTGTCCATGAAAGGCTAAGAAACTGACAGGCATTTTTTGTTTTTGTTTTACTAACTTGATTCTTTTTATGAGTACTTGTATTCAAACCATCATAATAAATGCCTGTTCCATGAATTTTGTGTCATTACAGGTCTTCAGGGTGATGACTCCTTAAAGAAAGCCAACATGAGCCTTATTATAAACTGGCAACTAGAGGAAAGAGACACTGATATATGAAATTTTTATAATTTCTTTAAAATGTTGAGAGCTATCACTAAAGTCTTGCTCCAAAAGCCCACCAGAAGCATTTCCATTGCTAAATTAACTAATGTGCTGTATTTACTGAAGTAATTAAAAATGAAAAAGATCCAGCAGGTAAGAAAATGGAGATGCTGGATATAGGCACTTGCATTATGTACTGCTTGATCACTGAAATCACCACTAAAACTCATATTGACTAATCAGCCGTGCCAAATCACGCTCTAGAGACTTATAAAATCTCAGTAGGCTGAGCAAGTGAGGCAGAGTTTAATGAAAATACCGGTGTTATTTTAAGGTCTGAGCAGAGGAATCTATCATGAGCAGAGCATCCCATAGAGAGGAGGAATTAATAATAGATAACATTCACATTGGAGTTAGGAGGGAGCCACTAAAGCAATTAAAATAGTTTAAGCTTCTTTACAATACTGTACTAAGGTTTGATCCTACAGCATTCCAGGCATTGGGAGTTTTCCCATTGATTGAAGCAGGAGCAGGAGTTAAAGGCAGAATAGTCACTTTACCTCTCTTGAATTCAGTTTACCCTTCTGAACACTGATTAAAGCATATAACAGTATAACACCTGGAAGTTTAAACTGGACAAATTCAGACTACACATACGGTGTAAATTTTCAACACAGAATGTAATTAACCAGCGGACCATCTTGCCAATTGTCATAGAGGATTCTCTATCTCTGGCAATTTTTAAAATCAAGATTGGATGTTTTCCTAAAAAATCTGCTATAGAAATTATTTTGAGGGAAGTTCTCTGGCCTGGTCCCTTCTGGGTTTAGAAACTATGAATATTTTCAGGGTATTGAGAATCTGAGCCTGTTTCTGAAGGCTACCTCTGTATGAATTGAAAGCCAGACAGAGGATATTGATGACTACATCTGTTTCACATCAGTCAGTTGTAGACTTTTCATTCACTTCAATGCAATTTGGACAGACTATCAGAGAATAAATCATTTTAATTTAATTCTGAAAGGATAACTCAGTGTCTGCATAATTTATACCCTAATGTGATTTGGTCGAGTTTGGGCAACAAACTTGTCTAATTCAGGAAAATAATACCTGTCTGAATGGCTGAAATAGGTAATTGTGATAGGGCACCTGCTCTGCACTGGGCTCTCAGGAGTAGGGATGTAAGCGAGTAATCGAGTACTTAACAACTCACCCCCTTTCTTCCCTGCTGCCTCTGTATTCGAGGCAGCAAAGGGGGAGGAGAATGACAAGAGCCAGTGCTGGGGGGAGCTGGCTTAAGAGCCAGGTGGCTCTTACTACATTTAAAATTCAGAGCTGCAGCATCCCGGACCTGGCGTGAACCAGGACTGCTCAGTCCATGTCCCAGACCTACCCCACTGTGGCTCTGCCTTTTAAATGTAATAAGAGTCTGGAGGCTCTTACTACATTTCAAATGCTGAGCTGCAGTGGTTCTGGGGGTCTATTCCCACTGCGGCTATGCAAAGCGCCTCACCTTATCGATTAATCAAATAGTTGATACCTGTTGTATCGACTACACGATTAGCCAAATATCTGCTCCTTAACATCCTTGCTCAGGCATTAATAAAGCCCTAGAAAGGATGTGAAGGAGCCAGCTAATCACAAAAGGGCTTGCAGAAACACCCAATCAGAGCCAGGCAGACCTATATAAGAAGAGCTTCAGACAGAGCAGCTGCAGTCATTCCTGGAGTTTGAGAAGGGAGGACGATTGGCTGCCTTGCAGTGGCATACCACTGCTGCAGGCAGAGACTCAGGGATCTAAAATGCAGCTCCTGGCAGGCTGTAGACCGAGTCCTTGAGGCAAGGGCAAAGAAAGTGCTGGGGCTATGGGGAAGGGTCCAGGGAAATCTTCTGAAGAGTCAGAGAGGGTAATGCAAGCAGCAGCCATCACAGGGTCCCTTGGCTGGAAGCTGGAGTAGTGGGTGGGCCTGAGTCTTTCCCAGACCCCATTCACCACTGAGGAAAGTGGCTGCACTAAGGGACTGTAACAGTGTCCCCTGGAAGGGGAGGAACATGGAGTGTCACACAGCCAGAGGACTGTGTCCTGAAAAGTGACAACATGGGCTCAGGAGCAGAAATGATGACAGCAAGGCACCACCAGAAGAGGGCATAATGGTGAGCACTACTAATCCCTGGGACAGTCAGCAGGAGACACCACAGTAATGAGTCAAATCCCATCACAACAAAATTGTATCACATTGACTAAAGATGTTGTGATTGACTATTCTGTGCTGGCTTTATGGTGATTCTTCCTGTACTGCGCTCATTTGTGCATTTAGGGCCTTACCTTGCAAACCTTATTTAAGTGAATAGTGCTGGCTTGTGCAAGTACGCTCACTGGCTTCCAAAAGGGAAATGTTGTGGATCTAGGCATATGGGGATATAAACTGAGGCAGTCAGATCTCTCATGGGAAGGAGCAGATCCTTAGCCACTTGAACCTAAGCCTTCCCCTGGTTTTTAGAGCAAGAGAGGCATAACAGTTAAAGCTGGCAGACAATCCTTCTCTCCCTCTGCTTATGCAGTCTGAGGGTTCTTTCTCTCTGGGTCTGTGCTGTAGCTGATGATTGCTTTGGCAGAAGGCCTGGATTCTCTCTGGCTGACACTTTGACTGGTCACACTGTCTTAGAGACAGTTGAGGGTGAAACGATCCGCTGTTCTGAAGTTGGACGCTAGTGGTTAGCTGCACACTCTGGCTGACATGTGAAATAGAGTTTTCTCCCCTATTCTGTATTGAGCATTCAGAAGCTGTTGCATTCTCTTGTAAAACATTAGTGAGATGTATATATACAAATAGTAAACTTACAAATGTTGTATTTGGAATCTGATAGATGTTTCATATTTTAATATCTCACATTTTGCAGATATGAATGATGTGTTGGAGGTAGAATCCAGCCAATGTGGATTAAGAATAGACTGGGCTGATCATAATCAAACATGGGGAGACCAGGTCCTAGGAGGATCACTAACAATCAGAATGGAGAGAGAGTTTGAGGGGTTTGAATGTATTATTCGCTACCATTTTCATTCTGAGATCTGTAAGCTGAAGGGTGAAGTGAATTTGTGCAGAAAGCTCTGTAAGAAACATGGGTGATCTAGTTTTGTAGTTAATATAGCTACTTACTGACGAGTTGAAGGCTTGGTCTGCTCTAGACTAGGAAGTTTGGCTTAAGGTACCCAACTCCAGCTACCCAACATGTGTAGCTGGAGTCGGGTTACCTTAAGCTGAGCCTTGGCAGCATCCACAAAGCAGGAGGCTGTCAGGAGTAAACAGTCCCTTTAGCTTCCCTTACTCCTCACAAACGGAGGAGTACTAGACGCTGGCAGGGACTGCCTCAGCACTCAATTCATGGGTCTATACTAGACCTCTGGAGGTAAATATAGATCTGTAGGTAAATATAGATGTGTGCAGAGAGTGCTATAAGCACTCTCATGTCTGGCAATAGTGCTGGTGTGCCATAAAAAGAGTAAGGAGAGTGTGTATTAGGGACATGGAAAAAAGGGAAGTGCATAATAATAAGGGAACCTAGCCAAATCCATAATCAATGTGCTATATTGTTATCTTCTAATCTAAGGTTACTGGCTTTCAGAAGAAACTTGTACAGGAACTCCTATAAGGCTAGTGTTAAGCTGTCAATTTGTGAGATATACAGACTCTTAGTTTGGAGATCAATGTCATTTTCGCTGAAGTATGAGTGCTGTCAACCACCTTGGGGACATGAGTAGATGTTATCCAAGTGCTGCCTGCCCAGAAGTTAGCTGCACTCAAAATGAAAATAGATTAATAGTTCTCTTATTTTATTTTCTCTTCCGTTCTGTTTCCTGAACCAGCCAGTTCTTCCCTGAGAAATATTGCTTTGGTCTGATTTTGCATCATAAAATACAACAGGCAAAAGTCACAAGGAGCCAAAAATTATTTTGGACGGTGTCCAATCCTTTTCAAAGGAGTCTTGCAGGAAAATCCCAGGTGAAAAGCATAACTTTAAAAATGCAGCATATATCAAGGTCAGCAAAAATGTGGCCACTTTGCTCAGCCTGTATTAATGCTTAATGTAAAATTTCCATTGTGGCTGACAACATTGTCATACAGAATATAAATATATCAAACATTAAACAGAACTGCTGAACTGGACATTAAGAATTTAGGAATCAGACTGTGAGCTCCATTCAAGGCAACCATTGTCATTACTTTTTAACAGTTCGCAAAGAGATTTGAGAGGCTATTGGTATCTTCATTTGACTAAAAAACTAGTTTAAAATGTAGCTGAAAACTCTTTTCAAACAGATATGCCTTTCAAAGCCAGCAATTAAAAATGTGTTGTTTGTGGAATTTGGCAAAGATTGTACAACAGCAGCTCTACTAAAATATTAAATGCTTTGTGTTCATTTCAGGATTCTTTCCTGTTCACTGAGAAGTAAACAGAATGGAGTTAATTTGCACAGAAACCAGCAAGAGCATAGAAAATATAAGTCTGCATAACACACTGTAGTGTACACCGAAGGTTCAGGTACTGTGCCTGGGAACAAGTGTTCTAATCTGTCTGTGGAGAAGCTGAACAGTTTTATCATGAACCCAGTGACAGCTTTTTCCAAGCGTCAGTGAAAATGGAATACATTGGATGTCCCTGCAAGTTGTTAAATTATAATTCAGTAAATTTTATATTCTACTACCTTTGAAATGTAAAGTGGGGGCACCTACCCTGGTGAGTATTTCAATATTCACATGCCTTTGGGTACTGTCTGATTTAAATAATGAATCAAATTGTGGTTCAGTGCACAGTTCCCATGAACTGCCAAAGCAGCATTTTTGTGCACCTGGATGCTAGCTGGCAGTACTCCCTGCCTCTTACAAAATATCATGATGGGGCATGAGCAGTGTCTTTAGGAAAATTTTTAAAAATCCTTTCATTTCACATAAAGTTTTGTAATTTTGAATCTTCCTCCTGATTTGGAAGACACAAATGTCACATGTATACATTTCGCCTGGGACGGAAATTTCAATTTTTCAGTCAGCTCTGTCTCTATGCAGCAGCCCCTGCCAGACTCTGTTACACAGTTTGCATGGTGGGTAGAAGTGTTTGGGTGTAACCATGAGTGTAGTACCCCTTGGAGACTGAAACTTCTCTTGTGCCATTGCACTGGGCAAGAAAGTCCAGAACTCAATCTCCTCTTTATACCTGACTAGGGTTGCCAGTTGGTTTCAATAAAAATACCGGACACACTTGACATTACATCTCAATCTACATTACATCTTATTTAGAAAATACCGGACATTTCTATTTACTCATTTATATTTTCTCAATTTTTTTCCCGGACAGAAAGCTCAAATACTGGACTGTCCAGTTCAAAACTGAACACCTGGCAACACTATGCCTGACTTTCACTAATTTTCTTTGGCATGTGAAGCTGTCAGGGGCCAAACCTCTAGGGGTATGTCTACACTACAAAGTTAGTTCGAACTAACGGACGTTAGTTCGAACTAACTTTCATAGGCGCTACACTAGCGCTCTGTTAGTTTGAATTTAATTCGAACTAACGGAGTCATAGGCGCTACACTAGCGCTTCGTTAGTTCGAACTTAATTTGAACTAACGGAGTGCTTAGTTCGAACTAGGTAAACCTCATTTTACGAGGATTAAGCCTAGTTCCCCCTGGTGGCCTCTCTGGGCACAACCAGGAAAACTCTTCTCCTGTCCCCCAGCCCCGGGCCCTTATAGGGGTAGATTCTGGCCAGACGGCACTGGAGTCAGCCAGCTCTGCCAGCAGTGTCTACCCCTGAGCTAGTGGCCCCACAATGAG